TCTTAATGAGCAAATAACTGGTATACCATCATTTGTTTGCCAAAAGTCATCACCGAGCTTCGAAAAATCAACCACGAACGAAGAATAATCCTCCACCAAGACAATGCATCGCACACAGCCCAAAAAACAAGGCAGTATTTAACGGAAGAAAACGTGGAATTATTGGACCATCCTCCATATAGTCCCGATCTAGGTCCTAACGATTTCTTTACTTTCCCGAAAATCATAGACAGACTGCGTGGTTAAAGGTTCCAGTCACCAGAAGATGCAGTTGACGCATTAAAAGATGCCGTTTTGGATCTGCCAGCAAACGAGTGGAATGCAGGTGTGTGTGTATTAATCTTCGTGGAGAATACTTCGAAAAACAATAAAGTCATTTAAAACTACCTACCGTGATATTTTATTTCCATATGCAAAACTTAAAAGACATCCCTCGTAAACCTATCTGTTGGCTGGGACTGGAAGTACACAGTGCATGTGATATTTTCCTATAGGATAGTGGTGACTGAGACTGTCTCTGATCAAACAGGAGCTATGGCGATGGCTATTCTCTAGGCGCTGAAGAAAGAAACTAAACCCAAACAAATACACGCATATTGCTCGTGAGTGAGTGTTTAGGCGCAGGAGACATTACAGGACCGCATCAAGATATTATGGGTAGTCATCAAAAATTTCATACAAGATAATTATTATCTTTTACAGTAAATTTCAGTTAGAGATTCACAAATGAGTTAACTACACTTTTTAGTTATTAGTAAGTAAGCTGCGCGCACTCATTCAGAAGAGGAACTTGAATCTTCTGAATCGTTTAAATGAATTATTAGAGGTTCAATTTGGGTATCGATGACATTGTCCAAATCCCACATTTTGACCTCAACCTTCTCCCGAACGTGGCGGATACAGTTTTTCCATTCCTCTGCCGTAACTCTATTGACTACGATGTGAAAGAGATTTTTAACATCAGAAAATTTATAAGTTTTATTATTCGACGCCACGTATTGCTTTATGTTGGCCCAAATCAGCTCAATAGGGTTCAGCTCACAATGGTAGGGTGGCAGTCTCAAGACAGTTTTATTTTGTTTTTTGGCCATTTCGTCGATCATTTTAAAATCGTATTTGTATTTATGTCTATTGACTATACTTATCAATTCACCCTTGACCATTGTTTCATCAAAATCGATCTGTTTTGAGGCCAGCCATTGTTGTATGTTTGCTTTTTTAGTTGCCATTGTGGGAATTTTTTCTATTTTTCTAGAATGGTACGGGGCATTATCCAGTACAATAACAGCGTTATTCTCCAGCTTTAGTAACATTTTGGAGATCCAATTTTCAAAGGAATTGCCGTCCATCTCCTCATGATAGTCCCCTGACTTTTTTGATTCAAAGGCCCACAGTGCTTCGGGAACAAAGCCGTCTTCACTACCTACGTGACAAATGATCAGCCGTTTGCCTTTTCCTGGAAATAAATTATTCCTTACACTATGGATTGATTAAATTTGAAGGAATGAGGCAATTGAGTTCATTTTAGCTGAATTTAAGAGTCACGGAATGCTGATCAAAAACTGAAAAACGTAGAAAATTGAAGTTTGCAACTTCTCAAAACCCATTCAAAGCAAATTGACTGCACCCAAAAATGATAATAAATTTCAAAATAACGCTTAAAAGAGGGTCGAAGTTTTTTTCCTAATGACTACACTGCGAATGCACCATTTTTGTAGAATATCACACATTATCTGCTATCACAGCATATTATTTGCCCGAATTTATCAAAATTAAATTGCCGGATAGATGAAGGAGCTTACCTGCAGGATTTTTCAATCCAGCCGAAAGACCGTCTAGAAAAGCCTGCCTTGATGATGTTACTGATTTGTCGACCCAAACTTTCGCTTGAGTATGTCCAGCATTCACCCACGTTTCGTCCAAATAGTAAATTTTTCTTTTTTCATCGCGAAACTTCCGAATCTTCCTAAGGTATTCCCTTCTCCATACAACAATTTCTTCTTTCTCTATTAACATACTGTTTCTTCCCCGTTTCAAGAATCGAAAATTAAGTTCCTTCAAAAGTTTTCGGAATGTGGTTCTTTTAAATGATGGAAGATCCTCATCAGCATTAACTAATCTTAATATCTTATCTACTGTAGGTATCTCATTTCGGAAGAAAAAATTATGCACTTTCCTCCTGATGGCAGTTCTGTCAAAGTCATCTACTCCGTCCGTTATCCTTTTTCTTGCAGGATACGGTTTTGGCTCAGAAAGTGAGTGAGTGCTCCTATATTCCTTAATGATCCTATAAACACTGGACCGACATACTCCAGAAATATGTGCTACCTTACATATAACTTCGTCCACGACCAAATCGGGTTTTTCTTGAATTTGGTTTTTGTATATATTTAATATTATTTGTTTTTCATTTGCACTTAAATGTAGCTTCTTAGCCCTTTTTTTGGGTGGGGTTGCGCTGATGTCAACCACTTCGTCGGCTGTATCTGTGTCAGACATCGTATCTTAGGCAATATATAAACAAAACGTTCCACTCGCGAAAAACGAGTATACGCTACTGAATGCGTAATGCGTATGCAATGCAATCCTGTGCGTGAATTAACTGTTAGATGCCTGTCGTGTCATCTACAATCACGTTTACAAGTCCAAACCTGTGCAGATTCGTAGAGCGCCGACGACTGCTAGTGACCTTGAATTTGTCTGTAGATCGATGTTACTCCAGTCAATTTAGGTTCAAAGTGGATGTTTTCTAAACCAATTTGTTGTTCCTACATCAAAAATATATCGATGATGTTTTGTACTGGGAGCTCATGAAAGATCATGGTAACTTATTTTAACAGTCATCCTTTTTCTAGTCTCAAGATGACACGAAAAAGGGTCTGTGGATTGACTAGAAATACACTGCCGAGGATGTTTAGACCTAAAGTGACTGGAGTATATCCGTGGATGCTTTCGAGGGATCTGTTCACGTGCTGATCACTGTTTACGTTTAATGTCTTTCTTCAGCGCCCAGAGTATAGGATTCTACCCGAGGCGTAGGAGATCCGTGGCGATCTAAAAATACATAGAAATATGACAGCAAGACTGGCATTCCAAGGCAATCGGATGGGAAATGAGATAATTCAAGGAGTTTCGAAGACTTGAGAGAATCCAGGGAGATATTCTATCTCATCGAGAGGATCCGCGGCAAGCTAAGAATGAAATTCTAGTCAATCAAAAAATATCCAAGACAATCCTAGAAAATCCGAGGCACTTCGAGGAGTACCGAGGCCATCCAATGAGATCTGAAGTAATCCCAGCAGATACGATGCAATTCAAGAAGATCCGGAGGCAATCCAATAACATCCGAGGGAATCCTAAAAGATCCGAGGAAATTCTAGGAGATCCGAGGTATTTCAATGAGATCCAGTACAGTCCAATAAGATCTGAGGTAACTAATCCAAGCAATTCAAAGATATCCGAGCCGATCGAAGGAGATCCGAGGCAGCCTAATGATATCCAAAGCAATTCAAAAGTATTCGACGAATCCAAGACGATCCGCAGCCATCCAAGGATATCCGAGGGAATCCTGGGAGATCCAAGACAGTCCTAGAATATTCGAGACACTTCAAAGAGATCCGATACAATCCAGTGACATCTGGGGCAATTCAAGCAGATTCTAGGCAACTCAAAGAAAACCGAGGCAATTCAATAATATCCGAGAAAATCCTACAAAATCAGAGAAAATCCTAGGAGGTCCGAGGCACTTCAAAGAGATCCGATACAATCCAATGGGATCTGAGGTAACCCAAGCAGATCCGAGGCAATTCAAAGCTGTCCGATGGATCCAAGGCGATCCGCGGCAATTCAAATCGGAGGGAATCCTGGAAGATCCAAGGCAGTCATAGGAGATTCGAGGCACTTCAAAGAGATCCGATACAATCCAATTAGATCTGGGGCAATTCAAGCAGATCCTAGGCAACTCAAAGAAAACCGAGGCAATTCAAGAATATCCAAGAAAATCCTAGGAGGTCCGAGGTACTTCAAAGAGATCCGATACAATCCAATGGGATCTGAGGTAACCCAAGCAGATCCGAGGCAATTCAAAGCTGTCCAATGAATCCAAGGCGATCCGCGACAATTCAAATCGGAGGGAATCTTGGGAGGTCCAAGACAGTCCTAGGAGATTCGAGGCACTTCAAAAAGATCCGATACAATCCAATGAAATCTGAGGTAATTCAAGCAGATCGTAGGCAACTAAAAGAAAACCGAGGCAATTCAAGAATATCCGAGGAAATCCTACAAAATCAGAGAAAATCTTAGGAGGTCCGAGGTACTTCAAAGAGATCCAATACAATCCAATGGGACCTG